AAAAATATAAATTAAAAAAAAAAACTTAAAAAAAATAAAGATATATATGTTTTTTTAGGCTAGAAGATGTCTGACGATGTTAGAAGACTCTGGTCCACATCTGCGCCAAGAAGAGGGCGCACAGACATTTTTAGGTCTGCAGTCTTCAAAAAAACAAACAGTCTGCGAAGGCTAATATCTGCGCGTGGTCTGTGCGGCGCAGACCAAAGAGGCCACGCAGATCTGCAGACAAAAAACAAACACTACCTAAATAGCGAAGCTTTATGTGAAAGTATTATGATAATAATTTATCTTTAGAATTTTAATATTGACACGGTCTTCTTTCTAGAAATGGATTCTTAATCTTAATTAGGCTGATTTGTTACTACTTTTAACATCCAAGACAATTTTGAAGACCGAATCAATTGCTCCTCATGGAATTAATACATTTCTACATCAACATCAATCTAATACTTCTATAAAAACTCATACTATACATATTAGTTGTTGTACTACCCTTGCATTAAGCCCTACTTTGTACATATTTGGCAAATCACAAATATCTATAAGGAAGTGAATAATCTTGATATATAAATTTTTAAAAAGAATTATGACACCAATCTCACTTTCATGTTTTTGTGATTATCTTTTTAAATGGAATGCCAAAGTATAGTTGGTCAAATGTTTGTTTGACGAAATAAGGTGCAACATATTGCACGTGTCACGTGAAACGCACCTTCCCATCTCCTCTATCGACAAACAGAACAGTTCCTCTTCTTCATAATTCTCCTTCTTCTTTCCTCCTTTCTCACGTTCTCATTCCAAGCTCAGAATCGTCTAGCGGCATCGAATCGTACTCATCAGAAACAATATAGGTTATGTCTATCAGATTCAAATTCAGAAGCTCTGTCAATTTCGATACAATCGAAATCGATGGTGGTAAACCCTACATATCGGTGGGAGAACTCAGATCTAAAATTCTGTGTCAGAAGAAGTTAAGCGGCATATGCCATAAAGACTTTGATCTCGTCTTCTTAGATGACCTCACTGGTCAAGGTTATTTTCTAATTCTATTAGTCTACCTGCTTTTAGTTTTCATATTCTTGAGCTACAAGTCCTCTTCTGCAAATTGTGTTGGCGTACAGGTGCAGCAGAATAGTGTGTTTTCATGTATCATCAATTGGTTTCGTTTTTTTTTTTTTTTTTTTTTTTTTGGTTTTTGATTCCGTGTTTTATTTTTGAGTTATTAGAGTACAATGACGATGAATTCAAGATTCCTAGTGGTTCGAGTGTTATCATAAAGAGGGTTCCAGCAGAACCGGTGCCTTTAGCTATGTAAGTTTTACGTTCTTTTATTGAATTGAATCTAACTCATAAAACCCTGTTAATATATCTTTTAGCTATATGATATCAATAAATCGTTTGATGAGTTTTTACAGTATGATTTCTTTGGTGTATGTGGGTGTGTGGGAGTATATGTAATTATGTATGAGTGATAAGCCTTTCACACTGTCTTCTATTTCATTAATTGATATGTACTGTTGATTAACTAATACTCTAAATCATCTTGTCTTTTCTTGTTATGAACTTGGCATCTGATATTCTGCTTTCTTCAGGTTAAGACATCATAAGCCTGAAGCAAGTGAGCTTAGTGAGGATATTCCGAAAGGTATATAACATTTTAAAGCAATACATTATAATTTTTTTGATGGGTCGCTCTAACTACATCAAAAATGCAGGTATCAATCACAATAAACCTGAAGATATAATTCTAGAGAAGAAGCCTGTACCTGTAGATGTCGAACACATAGAATTGGAAAAGTAAAGTTTGTGCCATATGATTTTTTTAGTTTCTGATAAACTAATTCCTTCAGCCTATCTAAACAATCTTTTTGTTTCCTTTTCAAAAATTTGACTTGACATGATAGAATGGCGAACACGAAGGGTATTGATTTGGAAAAAGTTGACTTGCCATCAGAACTAAGATGTCCTATTTGCAACACATATTTCAAGAATGCTGTGATGATACCATGCTGTCAGCATAGCTTCTGTAAAAAATGTAAGCCCTTAAGTTGTTAATGTTGATATTATTGCTGGAACTAATTCCATATATTTTTGACCTGTATTTTTGTGCTTGAACAGGCATCTGTGATGTACTTCCATTGAAGGCAAGGTGCCCTAAATGTTCTTCCACTAAGTATAGGGTAGAACACTTGCTACCAAATTTATCCCTCAGACATGCCATTGAGCATTTTCTTGAATCCCAGATTCTTGCCACTGCTCCAGAAAATGATTTGCAGAAATATGTCCCAGGTGAGACCTTCTGATATTACCTGGCCAAAAATAATAAAAAATAATTTCCTCTATAGCTTATATATGATTCTTTGAAATTTTATTTCAGATGGAGAATCTGGTATTCAAGGAAAGGAGGTTTCCACTAAAAGGAAATTGGATTTGCTTTATTCTGAGAAAGGACCAAATCAGAATATGGGAGAGTCTGTGTACGAGTCACTAAACAAGAAAAATGATTTCTTGAATTCAACTCCTTTGCTTAAAGTTAAGAATAGAGATGCTCATGAAGATTTGACACCTTCTGTGGACTCTGAAGGTGAAAACCAGCCTGTTATGCCTCAAGTTTGCTTGCCAAATGAAGGTGTTTCTCATTCCATATATGTTCACAATTTCAAAACACCGACTTTTTAAGTTATTACTAGTAACTCAACCCCATCTTTAACAAAATTTCCTGAAATGACTTACTTTGTCAGGTGGAGATCGAGGTTATGCAGTTAACAATAGAAACAACATCAACATGGTACTTATTTCAAAATCCATGATTTTTCATTTTACAATTAATAATCATACATACGATATGAATTATGAAATCTTACCTTGTTGAAATTAGGGAGGGCGAACTTGCTACATGTGTGGCTCTCCAACCCATTTCATAAGAGATTGCCCGATTGCTTCCAATGAACATCATATGTATCATAAAGGTAAATTCTTTTTTTCTTTAACATGTTGTTAAATTTTGTCAAGACTATCTTTTGATGATCTAGTTTTGTGAGTTTCATTTTCAGGAGATCATATGTTTCAAGGAGGTGTGTCAGGCTACCCGATGCCCTACTGGAACACTCCCACTCCCATGTTCCCTCCATTTAATCCTTACATGAATATGTATGGAAACCCTGGGATGCTCCCTTTTAGTCCTGTCACACCTTATGGAGTTCCACCTTATGTTGCATCTACATATGCCACCTTTCCTGTTCCTAGGTCAACTTTCTTATATAAACATTTTCATTGTTCTTACTTGTTACTTTTATTCATCATATTCAAGATCACTCTACAATTTCATGTACCTTATTTGGTTGCAGTGGAGTTACAAGAATGGGAGGTATGACACCTGTAGGACCCAGAGCTGAACATTCCACAAGACGCCCTGAGAATTTGGACTTTCAGAACAGTGATAACCGAATGAAATATGGCCATGAAAAGAGGTAACTTT